GTGTGAGTCAGTCAATGTGAGTCAGTCCGTCTATCAGACTTCCGCTGCATATATGCTCATCCTACATTGGTTGATCTTTGGTTCTGCCCATACTCGTTGAAGTATGTAACACTCTCCCTCCTCCATCTTCTTCACCCATCCAACATAGCCAACCATCTCACACCTTCTTCCTCCTCCATCTCCTTCACCCATCCTCCATAGCCAACCACCCCACACCTTCTTCCTCCTCCATCCTCTTCATCCATCCACCATAGCCAACCACCTCACACCTTCCTTCTCCATCTTCTTCACCTATCCTCCATAGCCAACCACCTCACACCTTCTTCTTCCTCCACCTTCACCCATCCTCCATAGCCGACCACCTCACGACTTCTTCCTCCTCCGTCTTCTTCACCCATCCTTCATAGCCAACCACCTCACGCCATCTTCCTTCTCCATCTTCTTCAACCATCCTCCATAGCCAACCGCCTCACACCCCCCTTCCACTTCATCTCTTTCACCAACCAAAGGCCATGACCATAGAAACACAAAGAAAACAAGGTATAGAAAGAGAACCTTGGGTAGGACGGTAGGACAAGTAGGGGATAAGATTGATTAGGCATAGGAAGTCTTCTTTCCTTTTTCTCTCTCTCCCTCCCTCTCTCTCTCTCTCTCTATCTATCTATCTATCTATCTATCTATCTATCTCTCTCTCTTCCGCCTCCCCTATCCTCTTTCTCCTCATCTCTTTCTTCCTCTTCTTCTTTCATCACCGTCGTCGCGTCGTCGTTCTTCTCCCACTTTCTAAAGCCTTGACCTTACCTTCTCCCCCTCTCTCCTCTTGGCACGTAACTAACCCTTCCCCACTCACTTGTTACATTGTCAGGGAACGAACGGTGAAAGGAATCTGTCCTCACTTGGTGGAGAAAGTAGGCAGGGGAGGGGCAGCCGGTCCCTTGTGCCGCCAAGAAGGAAAGGAAAAGGCACTTGAGAAATTGGAAGGAGACAAGTCCGAAAAGGGACTAGAAAAAGTTGATAACTTGAAGCATGGTCAGTTGACTCAACCATTACCCCGACTGCAAGACTAAGGGAAGAGATTGCCCTGGATTAAAGAAGGAAAGGGAAAGCACAAAGGACTAAGGGAAATTGAGTGTGCAGGTGAGTAGCCTCTAAAGATTCCTTGAGCAAGATTGGGCCTCGGGTATGCTGGGCTGCAGAGAGAAAAGGGGACTGAAGTCAAACGGGTTTTGGACTTAACTCTTACCCATGAAGCTTTATTGCACATTGAGCATGTTTGTGTAAAGCAAAGACGGCCGTAGCAAGTCGCAAAGGCACAAGTCGGCAGAGAAGGTCGCCAAGACTCAAAAAAAAATGGAGCGTGCATGCGGGATGGGGCCCCGAAAAGACTAAAGGGTGTATAGGACAAATGCAAAGGCCGGATGAGAAAAAGGTGTGCATGATGTATGCGACAATGAAAGTCACGCATAGGACGACCAAAGAAGGAAGCAGGTAAAAGCCCTAGGGAGGCGTAAGAAGGACCGCGAGACGTGGTCCACGGGCCCAAGCCGAAGGGCGGCCGCGGCCTCAACAAGGCTTTAAGGACCCCGCTTAGTGAATGGATGCGTGGCCCAAGGAGGACGCTTGGCCTACGCATAAAAGAAGAGAGGCTTTCAATGAACTCCCTGGACTGCTTGAGCATTGGAAGGAGCTATTGCGTGATAACACCTCAAAGCATTGAGAAAAACCGCGTTTGACGAAAAGGATTGGCGAGTCTACCATCCAGCGAGAGGGCGGAGCTACATCCCCAATGTCAAAGCTCTCTCGCAAAATGGCCCGTCCCCATCCATCTCAAAGCACTAGGTGGGGATGTCCCTGTGACGAATGCTCCGCGCCCTGAGCATGAGTGTGGGCGGAGCAGAGCCAACTAGTATCCGCAGCGGGGTCGACACAGGCTCGAAAGTCTAACAGGGTTGGGCCCTACACCGGCTTTGCCAAAAAGGGCGGTCCCACCACCACCCGACCATGCTTCTTCCACAATGAGACCACCGTAGCGTTGTTGCCGGGGATTTTAAACGTCGGACGTTGTCTGACTCTTTCGTTGAATTGAAGGACTTGATGAGACTGACATTGCCAAAAGTTTGTTCAAACCAACCCTATGACTAAGAAACTAACTTTTTAGGACCTGATGCCATTGACGTCCGATCGAAACAGCTGGAGTTGGCAGTACGACCTATCGGTCGTGGTTCCCAATAAGGCCGCAAGGGCACGTGGTCGTGAAAAGGTTAAGGCTAGACTATTCTACCTAAAAGACTGACGAGCGACTGCCAAGCCGCGCGATTCAGGGCCTCTGTGGGCCGAAAAGATGGCCGCGCCGAAGGATGAAGCACTGCGCGAAGAATGTATTAGCTGCAGAATAGATTTCGCGTCAGGGATCGTAATGGCAGCCGATAGGGTCAGTGGTCTGCCCAACTTGAAATTGGAGGCCGCCGCGGTCGACGCTGGCAGCCAGCCAAGAAGCCAAGTAAGGATGGCTGGACCTGTAGGACTTGAGGCAGGGCCTACTGGGTGCTGCACCACTTCATTTAGAAGTGATGTGGCTTTAGTTCCTGTAATAGGAGCTAGCCCAGTAGGTACCGCATCTGTAACGGACTCCGCGAGGGCTCGATCCCTGGTCTATTTTTTTGTTGTTTCTGCTGCATCCCGTTTTCGGCCTGGCACCCTTTTTTTCCAAACCCCTCCTTTGGTACCGTCAGATTTTGGACAACTGGCGCCATGCTGCAATTCGGGCGCCACTTTCAAATACCACATTTTTCAGTTCTGCCTACGGGGCTTTTGCGAAAATGCCCCTGGTACCGTACGTGTCACCGGTACTTATACCGGCTCCCCGTACAGTGCGGGGACCAGTCTCGTATCAGTTTTCTGGTGCTGTACTCATTCTCAGGTGACTTGCTGTTTCGGCATTCGGAATCCAAAACTTCGACTTTGTGCCTTGCCACTATGTCTGCGTCCGACCCTCAATCGTGTTGAGTGAGTGAGTGTGTGTGTGTGCTCTCACTCTCTCCCTCTCTCTCCCCACTTCCTCGGCTCTCCCTCAGACTCGCGCTTGTCACATTGGTATCGAAGCGGTTTGAACCCGCCCGACCCACCCTGCTTCGTCGTCACCACCTGGCCATCATAAGCATCATCGCCGTGATCGTCGTCGTAGTGCCACGTCATCGTCCTGATCGTCGCCGTAGTGCCACGTCATCATCGTCATCATCGCGATCGTGGTCGTCGTGCCACGTCATCATCGTCATCGTCGCGATCATCGTCGCCGTGCCACGTCGCCATCGCTGTGCCCGTCGTCCTCGT